CTATCCAATGCCAACCAGACCCAACCCTGCTTGGCTTGCAAGCGCGGAGCAGGGCGGGCGCTGGCAGGGACCCCGAGGCCGGAGCAGCCCGTGCGGCTCTCCCAGACAGAGGGCCCTGCCTGGGCCTGTGACGGACTTTCTGGGCCATGTGTCCCTGTGCTCGCCCAGCTGTCCCCGGTCACATTGGGGGGTTTCAGCACCGCTGTTTCCATACAAGGGGGGTTCTCAAGCTTCTCAGGGTCCCACGTGGCTCCTCAACCTTTCTGAGTCTGGCCCTCTGCTGTTGTGCTGCCTCATTTTACCTCGGTGTTGCTGCCATTACTTCCGGGTAAAAGTGTGCTGCGACCCTGTGGGCAGTTGGAGTGGAAGTGGCCGTGGCAAAGCCTCCGTCAGGCAGGCGTGCCCTTCATGCTGCAGCCCTTCCCTGGCAGCTGAGGTGTGCAGCAGCTTGGATACGGAGATGCCTCTGGCCAGCACTGCAGCCGAGTGGCACTTTTCCCACCCATTTGTTTCCAGGAGGCACGTGTGAGACTGGACTGGGAAGGGCTGTGGCAAGAGCAGGCGCTTGTCAGTTTGGCTCAGACATGCCTCCTGGAAACCAAGGAACATGGGACAGTTTCACTTGGCTGCTGCAGCGGCAGCTCTGGCATTGTGAAAGGTTCTCGTAGCACCACAGGCTGCTGTCCATTGCCATGCAGCATTGAATGTGGCCTGCTTTGTCAATGCAGCGCCCAAGGAAATGAAACCCCAAATGCCTCTTCTGCTTTAGTGGAAAAGGGCAAAGTTGCATGCTGCATCAAAGTACAGAGATGCATGTTCCCTTGTGGACACTTCTCTGGAACTGGAGGCAAGACCTGCATTCAGTCATTTACGTGAGGGCAAACCTGTCTTCCAACAGTCCTGATAGCATTAGAAATGCATTTCTCCATGGTACAACACTCCTGCCTTCTTGGGACCTGGATGTGGGCCAGAGCTCTGGCTCAGGTGTCTTGAGCATTTGTTGGTCAAATTGGTTCTCACATCAGCAATTCCATCTGATATGAGTGGGAGTGGGCTGAGCGCTTTGATGGCAGCTGTACTGTACAGTATAGTCCACAAGGAAAAGGCCACTGTAGGACTGCATCTTCCTGCCAAGCTGGTTTCTCACTGTTGGTGTGGGGAGGCGCTAGAGCAGGCTACTTAGGGGAGCTATGACATCTTTACTGGAGGTTTTTGAGAATGGGTCAGACAAACTGTCAGGGATGGAAGAGGTATGATTGGCCATGCCTTGGGTCATGGGCTGGATCATCTCTGGAGGTCTTTTCCGTTTCTATGATTCTAAGACTCTTTAGAAAAAGTCAGTAAGAGATGTATTTATAGGAATGTGGCAAAGATGTGCCAGGGACAGCTGAGCCAGGCAGGCCTTTGCACTAGATCAGATGTATAGAGTGTTATTTTGTGTTGGCTAAGAGACCAGCTTGCCTTTGGTTCAAGACCTGTTCTGTTAGAGAGACAGATGGCAGCACTGCTGGTGCCACATGCCTGCCTCACTGGTGGAGAGCTGAAGATCTTGCAGTACCGCCAGATGCTGCTTCATAAACATAGCATTCTGCCAGGGACGCAGTTTGGGAGGAAGCATTGTGGTCCATGCCCAGCTCGTATCTCCTCCACTGCCGTCCCCTCATGGGCTTGACAAATGGGGATGCCAAGAAGAAAAGTTGGTCGTGTTCCAGAAACTGTTCTTTAAGGGCTACTTCTGTGTGTCCCCTGCTGCCTTCCCACCCCTCTTGGTGCTGTGTGACAGTGGGACTCTTCAGTTCTGGGAAGAGCTGAGGTTAATGAGGGATTGGGGCTGTGTCCTCTGGAGGGGTCCATGGAAGCAGAGCATAAAACCCCCTGCACTGCCTGGGTGCAGCTGTGTCATGACTGTTTGTGGTTCTTGCCTCTTTCTGCTGCAGAGTGAGACAGTGGATGGCTGCATCCCAAGCCCAAGTCCATCATGAGCATGATGCACCTTCAGCCTCTGGCCACAGCCAACACGGTGGAAGAGCAGAGGGCCCGCTGGGAAAGGAAATGGAGCCGGACAGCCAGAGAGCTGGTGGAAACAGAACAGAGATACCTGGAGCAGCTGGACCTAGTGATCACAGTGCGTGTGGGGGGGTGAGGAGCTTCCTCATAGTGCCCTGACTGACACGTGGGGCCTAGGGCAGCCAGTTCCATGACCCATCCCTATTCCCTTGTGGGTGAAGGTCCTAGTGGAGGCCTTGTTGACTCAGTGCTTCTCCAGTGCCTGATGCTTGCCCCTTTGCTGCTGTTGGGAGGGTGCAGTCTGGTTCCCACACTTGTGGGTTAGGAGCAGCATCACCCCTGTGTGGGCTGTGGCCATGACTTCTCTGCACTTGTCTCTTTCCTGCCTAGTATTTTGTGACCATTCTGAAGGCCAAAGGGACGTTGCTGCCAGCTGTGCGGGCAGCCATATTTGGACCCCTGGAATCCATATACCTCACCAGCCAGTGAGTTAACTGCATACAGCAACCCCATTCATGAGGGATCCCCTGGGGGAAGGGAAGTGAGCAATCTAGTCACTCTGCAGTTCAGGGCAGCGGTGACCACAACACACAATGAAATATCTTGCCATTACTGCAGGGGTAGGTACGCTGGGTGTGGAGATGTGCCCATCAGAGTGTGGGCCCATACATGTTTATCAGGACCCCTGCATGTGCAATTGCTCGCTAGCTGGAGCGCAATGGAGTCAGTTTCCCAGCACACTATGGAACTTCCCACTTAGCTTGCATGGGTGAATGCCCTGGGTTTAATCTCTGTGTGAGAGCTGAGTGGTGCCAAAGAGGGGGGAGGGGGCAGGGGTGGGATTGGAGGGAGCCAAGATGTCTTTGGCCACTGTGCCCCCTGCTCAGTGAACATCCCTCCCTGCACACAGGATTCTGCTGCACCACTTGGAGAGGGGGTGCCTGGGGCAAGGGCTGGACAGCTTCTGTCGTGAACTGGAGCTCTATGGCCACTATGCCGAGAACCTGGAGCCAGCAAAGAAAGCCCTGCAGGTAAATGCCTCTGTCTTACTGCTCCTCTCTTCCCTGGCACAGCAGACTCCCTACACCTTTTACTTGATGCTTTCTCAGGAGTGACTGGTTGCCACCTCCTCTACTGCTTCTTCCCCACCCTGTTCTTCCCTGTGGCAAAACCCTCAGAACTTTTGAGCATTCTTTGTTATCAGAGCTGGAGGTTTAACTGAGGAGATCTAGGAGCAGAGGATTCTCCACACTCCCCCCCCATCCCAGCTCAGACCAAATGGAGAGGCCCTCTCCCTGCCAGCTCTGGAAATCTCATCTCAACAGGGACACGCTGCACAGGAGGTCTTGAGGTGGAGTGTTGGGAGGAGCTGAACTCTGTCTGCAGGATTATCTGGGCTCCTGCCTTTGCCATTAGCAGATGAAACACCAGGAATAGCTTGACTCCTCTTGAAACACATTCCATTCCACTGTCTGGAAACTGCCTTGGGGGTTAACTCTTCCATGGAGGAGCCCCTTTGTGCTCCTGGCTTCCAGATTGTACATCCATATCAGTTCCCAGCTCCAGGAGTGCAGGTGGCCAGGCCCACTGAGCCATAAGGATGCACCCTGGCTTAGCCTGGCTGTCTGCTTGTGCACATACAGTCTGTTGATTCCTGTCCCCAAAGGCCCTATCTGATACAGTCACCGAGTCTCATCCATTACTGCAGGGCAATGTAAGGACACTTCACTTTAAGTGTTTTATGATGAATCCTTTATTGTCATGTGTGTGAGGAGATGGGCAGTGGTTGTTAATTAATGGAAATTAATATTTTTGAGACAGTGGAAGGAAATATTTCTTATCTCCTTTATGACTTATTGTAGTTTCATAGTTGGTTGGGTCGAAAGGGACCTGAGCAGATCATCAAGTCCAACCC